CTTGAATTTTTGTTAATTTACAAATTTGATGATTTTATAGGTAAGAGAACAATTTTCGTCAAGCTAAAATCCTTGGAATAAGAGAGAAAAAGTTGCGATGTAAATTGAATTACTTTAATTTTTCATTTTCTTGAACTCTTTGTCGTCATGGTTATTGGTTTGTATCACGAATAATGACTAAACTCTTTGAAAAAGGCTATGTGTACAGCCTTGGTACACATGAAGTTACACAGCCCACTCACATGAGGTGGGCCCCACAAAAATGTGGGACCCACCTCATGTGAGTGGGCTGTGTAAGTTATTGTGTACCAAGGTTGTACACCAAGCCTTGTTCAAACTCTTTAGTTTGGCAAGATTGTTGTTTGAAAGAAGAATACGAATTGACAATGTCTGAAATAAGAATTTCAGTCAAATTAATGATAATGTGAACGTTTGACTTTATAGATATTCATTTGTTAACTTTTAAGTAGTCTTGAAATATTGTCTTTAATTGAGTAAACTATGCTTTGAATGATACTTTAGCATGTGAATAGTTAATTTTTCTTTATTTCATTTTTCAAAAAAAAAAAAAAAAATTTCATTCCTAAAAGATTAGGTCTAGCATGGCTCATGTCGTTTTCTTCTTTCTTCTCATTTGACTTTTCACAGGTAAAAAGAAATTTTATATAATTTTTTTTTTCTATATATCATCTCAGTAAAAAAAAAAAAAAAGTTCTCTTGGGCTCCACTTCTAAGTTCTAATTGTTGTCCTCAACCTTTAAAACTGAAGTAGAGCAAAATTTGATTGACATATCGAAGTGGGAAAAATAGTTGGGTTGATAAAAAAAAGGCGTCTTCTTCCCCGGTGGGGTTTTTGTGTAGTGACAATGTTGGTCACCATGCACAAGGTCAATTCTCTATTTCTAATCATTATCGTCCTCATGCACAATGAAACGAAACAAAGCAAGTCATATCCATGGCTAGGCTTATGAAAAAGTTACAAATAATGCACGTTAGATGTGTCCGAATGTTGGTTTGATTTTGTCTATTCCGAACTTTGTTAAAGCCGGTCGATTATATTGAAGCGGTAAAAAATGTTATGTCATTTATTAACTATTATGTCATCTACTAACGTATTTGAATTAGCATGTCATGCTTGACTGTTTAATCCAAATGTACCTATTTATATTTTGTCGAAGTAGAATAAATTAAATGAATTTCAAAAAAAATCATGTTGAGCTTTTTGTTCGGTGAAATCTTGCAATCGTACGAAATTGTTGACAAATAATAATGTACTGAGTAAAAATATCGTCCCGTGAGAAATAAATCTTAAATCGAATAGTGTCAATCAATTATCAAATTCAAGTACTAATTCAATTACAAAAGAGATTTATGTGTTTATGTCCAAATTATCAATTAATTACCTAGGACGGTTTTGAATTATATATGAGATTTATGTGTTGAAATTTTGAATTTACCTATTATTGTCATATTTTCAATTCTCGGCCAATGTAATTTGGGTAGTATTGATAATCGATAATCCAATTTCATTTAACTATCTTTTACGAAGTAAGTTAAATATATTCTAAACACGACTCAATTGTCTTCCTATTCCCAATTCATATGTAAAGTAATGTATTAAATCTCACGATTGTTTACATGATTGCATTTATCACATGTGTTATTTCTAATATTTATTATCCATTTTGTTGAAATAGCAAAATTCTCCCACGAAATATAATAAGCAACCAATTACATAAATGGTATGTAAGCATTTAAATAATTCAATAAGGTATACAACATAAATCAAGAACCCAAATTAACAAAATTACTTAATATTTGAATTAAAAATAATCAACAAAAGGTATCATTTTCATCTAACACAAAAAATACATAGCGTAGCATATGTCTAATGATAACACAATAAAAAAATTAGAAAATATCGTTGGAATGTATATAAATACAAGAAATATGTGGAATCAATTTCTTGTTCTTAATCTTCGATCCCTAACCTTGAATCTGCAATTCTTAATGTTATTTCTGTTGGATTCCTTACTAGGTTTGTCCTTTTCCTTCAATTGTGGTGAATTGACTTCTTGCAATTAAAAAATTTTTATGAAATAATGTGATATAAGAGCGGTATGAGATGTGTCTTCAATGGTTGCTCACGTTACGTACTCAAAGAGGCTGAAATTAGATTAAGAAATATGTCTGAAATCCTTTACATAACGAGTTTTAGCAGAAGAAGGAAGTTGTCGTTTGACTGAAAGGGCCCCATGTGATCGCATGGGGCAAATATGTGCAATTGCAACGTACTCAATTGCAGCGCCTCTATTTTCCAAAAGTTGCAGTTTGATCCTGAAGTTCTACTCCTTTGTCCAATCGAGCCATTCTTCTCGTAATCTCAATTATTTGTCTTCCAATTACATCCAATCGACTCTCAACATTTTTCAATCATAATTTCTTAGTTCTAATCAACATTTGAGTAGTTGCAATTTGATTCCTGAACTTTGAAAATTTTCATCTCTCCGATTTTCATTCATTTCTTCCAAATTCAATTTCAAATATCGAGTTTTGTCTAACAAACAATATATATAAGATGTTAAGCTATAATCAATCAAAAGTACTATTAAATATTCATATTTAATGAATTTAATATGTGCATAAAATACATTTATCAGTTTTTTATTGTAATTTTTTTGAATTACGGATTTCATTAACTTTTATCATGCTAAATTATTTGTCAAAATCTTGTCATAAACCTCTATTTTGAAGTTGAAACAAACTTTTTTAATATTAATTTTCTCATATGAATCATTATTTACTTTAAAAATGGCGTGGAAATGAGCAATTCGTCCTTTAATTCCACGCCTTGAATTTTTTACGGGTCGGTGCAGTGGCCGATGGTTTAGGCTTTTAGGTTAAGTTGACTTGGTTGATGTGACACATGGGTGACGCAACATGAATGACAGACAGCTCAGTGTGTGGGGTCCAGAGAAAACATCGTTATTTACTTCCTACGTTAGCTCAAATTCAATACTGCAAAAATTTCTCAACCTCATAACATCATCAATGATGTCATAAATAGTGCCTGAAA